GGCCTCGCGGGTGGAGCTGCGGGTGTCCTGCCACGGCCTCCTGGACCGAGACACACTCACCAAGCCCCACCCCTGCGTGTTGCTCAAGCTCTACTCTGACGAGCAGTGGGTGGAGGTGAGAAGGGGCTTGGGTCTTTCCTTCACTAACCCCCTGGCCCGGGAAGGAGGGAGGCCAGGTGGGGGCGATGAAAGTCTCATGATGGAACGTGAGGATTCTGAGGGGTTTCTTCTCAGCTGTGTGGGTAACCTTGGAGACGAGTGTGCCACCATTACGAACCCAAACCATTTTACAGTTTCCACAGCCCAGAGTCCCAGAGGGTCCCAACACCGCACTGGAGGCAGTGGCACAACCCCTAAAAGCCTTATGAGAGCCCCAGAGAGCTGACGGTCTGGTGGGCTGGCGGCACCCTGAGCTCAGGGTTCAGCCTAGAGAGGGAAGAGCTAGTCGCTGGGGATGTGGGAGTCCAAGGGAAGCTGGCAGGAGTGAGGTGGTCCAGGGCAGAGAAAAGTAGCCTGGGTTCCCACAGGGCCCTCACTCCTCCTGCCGCAGGTGGAGCACACGGAGGTGCTACGCTCCTGCTCCAGCCCCGTCTTCTCTCGGGTGCTGGCCCTCGAGTACTTTTTTGAGGAGAAGCAGCCCCTGCAGTTCCACGTGTTTGACGCTGAGGACGGAGCTACCAGCCCCCGCAATGACACCTTCCTGGGCTCTACGGAATGCACCTTGGGCCAGGTTTGCATTCCCACCCCACCCAACCCCAGCTTCTGCCTCTAACAGCCAAAATAACAGACAGTGTGAGCTCCAGAGCTAGTTCAATCAGGGCTTAGACCCCATCTCCAACATTCACTGGCTGTGCAGCCTTGGGCAAGATTCTAAACCTCTCTGAATCTTAGTTTCCTCATCTAAACAATGGGGTCACAGTGCCTACCTCTTAAGGTTGCCATGAAGATTAAGTCCAACCCTAGCCCGAGTGCAGCCCCTGTGGGCATTCAGAGGGCACTGATTCCCTTGTCCCTTGTACCCTGGCCAAGGCAGGGGGGCACCACAACTGGATCTCCCTCCACCTCCATCCCCAGATTGTGTCACAAACCAAGGTCACTAAGCCATTGCTGCTGAAGAATGGGAAGACAGCGGGCAAGTCCACCATCACGGTAGGCAAGGTCCCCTGTACTCACCCTTGGGCAGAGCGGTCAATGCCCCTGCATGGACATCCTGGTAACATCATGCCCAAGACTGGTACCCTCCTAAGGGAGAGTGCACATGGGGTGGCCCTTGTGGTGGGGGGTGGCGGGGTCCTGCCACTTGTGTCCCCTGGCAGATCGTGGCCGAGGAGGTATCCGGCACCAACGACTATGTGCAACTCACCTTCAGAGCCCACAAGCTGGACAACAAGGTTGGAACCCCAGAGTCCAGGCCCCCATCTCCTGTTAGAGAGCCGAGGCTCCCCCCACTCAAGACCAATCCCAGGGCCCCTGTGCTGCTCGCTTCTCAGCGTTAGCTGCCTCCCCCTGCAGACCTCACCAGGCTCATGGGCCCCTTCCCCTGTCCCTCAGGATCTGTTCAGCAAGTCTGACCCTTTCATGGAGATCTATAAGACCAACGGGGAACAGAGTGACCAGCTGGTCTGGAGGACCGAGGTTGGTGCCTGGGGCAATGGGGAAGGAGGGAGGAAGAGCAGAGTAGGAAACTTAGATAGGAGGTGACCAGCCTCTGGGGCCTCTCTAAGGTGGTGAAGAACAACCTGAACCCCAGCTGGGAGCCGTTCCGCCTGTCCCTGCACTCCCTATGCAGCTGTGATGTCCACCGGCCTCTCAAGGTGAAGCCCTGCCACCAAGGGCAGCTGATTGGAGCACTGGGCCTCTGTCTGAGACCTTCTCCCTGAGTGTGGCAAGCCCTTTCCCTCGCTCCCTGAGACAAGCCCTTCCCATTGTGGGGTAAAGAACCGGTCAGAGCTCAGTGTTCTTACACTGTGTGCCTTATATCGGAGGCCAAAGTCCCTGCCAGACTGAGCCAAAGGATGAAGTTCAGCAGGTGGCCTCTTTGGGCAGGTTGAGGACATCTGTTTGGGCCTAGAGACTGTCAGGCCCCTACCTCCCTGAGTCCTTTCCCCTGCCCCAGGAACCTCTGCAAAGCATCCCTGACCCTGACCCTAACACCCCCCTACCCCCGCCCGCACCTTCCCAGTTCCTGGTGTATGACTACGACTCGAGTGGGAAGCATGACTTCATCGGCGAGTTCACCAGCACCTTCCAGGAGATGCAGGAAGGAACGGCAGACCCTGGGCAGGAGGTGCCACAAAGACCCCACCCCACTCCCCAGAATCCCACCCAGATCCCTGGAAAAATCTTGAGGGTGCTAAAGAGACGGCCATCTGTCACAGGAGGTGGAGAGGGTGGAAAGCACCCTGGCTCAGCCTAACGACTGAGGCATGGCGGGTTTTGCTCTGGGAGGCTCTGCGGGAAGCGGGGCAAGGGGTCACCTGAAGGAATCGTGACCCTAGGCTTGTGGGGCATGTGGGGTCTAGATGCAGTGGGACTGTATCAACCCCAAGTACCGGGACAAGAAGAAGAATTACAAGAGCTCAGGGACCGTGGTGCTGGCCCGGTGCACGGTAAACCCAGCGTCTTCCGAAGCCCTGGCCCAGCCCCAACCCCGACCGCACCCTCGCCTTCAACCCTGCCCTTGTTTCAAAAACCACTTTCTCTGCTTCTGGGAACGAGAAGGCTTGTCCTATCCCAGCGTGAACTTCAATCTCAAAAATCCTGGTCCCTCCACTTACCCTACAGAAGCCCCATCCAGCTCCCTCCTCTAAGGACCATCCCTCCACTTTGCCTCCCTCCCTCCCGCCAGGTGGAGAAGGTGCACACCTTCCTGGATTACATCATGGGAGGCTGCCAGATCAGCTTCACGGTAAAGGCCCAGGGGGTGGGGACACAGGCAAGAGGCACACAGGCCAAGAGCATAGTGAACTGAAGGAGCCCAGAATCTCCACTGCCCCTACTTGGGCCTCTCACGAGTCTTAGGGTTGTCATCCTGTTCCCCTTGCCCCACCCCATGATGAGGCTACCTGTGATGGGCTCATCCAGATTCATCTTAGTCCTCCTTACAGACCCTAGCTCTGGCCTGGCCTCTCTGTTGGCTCTCATGGATGCAACATGACACTTCCCCCTTCCCCACCAGGTGGCCATTGACTTCACCGCCTCCAATGGGGACCCGAGAAGCAGCCAGTCCCTACACTGCCTCAGCCCCCGCCAGCCCAACCACTACCTGCAGGCCCTGCGTGCAGTGGGAGGCATCTGCCAGGACTACGACAGGTAGGAGGAGGTGGGGGCGGGGGCACAGGTAGGGAGGCCTTGCCCGATGGGCCCCCACAGCCTTTTCTTCTCCCCAGCGATAAGCGGTTCCCAGCGTTTGGCTTTGGGGCTCGAATCCCCCCCAACTTCGAGGTAGGCTGGGTTTGAGAGGAAGACAGGAGATGGTGGGAGAGTCAGACAAGAAGGAAAGACACCCCCTTGCTGCCTCACCTTACCCTCACAGGTGTCCCATGACTTTGCTATCAACTTTGACCCAGAAAATCCTGAATGTGAAGGTAAGAGGGGAGATTCCCACCAGCCCTGCCTTCCCACCTCCAGCTTGCTGCACATCCTGTATAGCCCATGCAGGAGCACAGACTCCATTCCCATGGGCCCAGTCCCTGACCCTTCACCCATCCAGCACCTGTCTTCATTTGGTAAGACTTCCAGCTCCTGGCTCAGCATCTGCCCACCCAACTCCCCCAGCGCCTCGACCACCCAACTCTCCTCCTACTTAGTGAGGAACTTGGGGGGGCAGGGCAGTCCCCAGACAGGGAAGCACCTTCTCGCTTTAAGGAGTGTCAGGAAGGACTCCCTGCTAATCTCTGCCAGCCTCATCCCTTTGCCCACAGAGATCTCAGGGGTCATCGCCTCCTATCGCCGTTGCCTGCCCCAGATCCAGCTCTATGGTCCCACCAACGTGGCCCCCATCATCAACCGAGTAGCTGGGCCAGCCCAGCGGGAGCAGAGCACCGGCCAAGCCACGGTGAGGAGACCAAGCTGGCAACCAGGGGCTGCCCCAGGTGTCCTCCTGTGGGGCCAGGGGCCCGGCTTGGAGTGGGTGCCAATGCCCTTGCACACGGAGCCGACCCTTCCTCCCCTCTGCCTGCCCTCAGAAGTACTCGGTGCTGCTGGTGCTCACGGATGGCGTGGTGAGCGACATGGCCGAGACCCGCACCGCCATCGTGCGCGCCTCCCGCCTGCCCATGTCCATCATCATCGTGGGTGTGGGCAATGCCGACTTCTCTGACATGCGACTGCTGGACGGCGACGACGGTACCTTGCGCTGCCCCCGAGGGGTGCCCGCGGCCCGCGACATCGTCCAGTTCGTGCCCTTCCGGGACTTCAAGGATGTAAGTACCCGGCGCCCCTCCCGGCTGAAGGACTCCTCAGGTCCTCATGCCCCCAAATCTGACCTGTCTCTCCCACCAAGCTGATGTCCTGCGAAGACGCTGGACCCCTCCAGAGGCCAAGGCGAAGCCCCGCCCCCTTACCTGACCCCGCCTCGTCCACTCTCCTGCCCTAACCACGTTCCGGTCCCCACCCCCAGGCCGCACCCTCTGCGCTAGCTAAGTGCGTCCTGGCGGAAGTGCCGCGGCAGGTGGTGGAGTACTACGCCAGCCAGGGCATCAGCCCGGGGGCTCCCAGGCCCTGCACGCCGGCCACCACCCCCAGCCCTAGCCCGTGACTGCCTCCACCGGATCAACACTCCCTCAGCCTCTCAGTGAGTCCTGGGGGCCCAAAGGGGTGGACATTAGGGGGTGCAAGGTGGGGCTTGGTGGAGCCCATCGTGGCTGGATGTGGTGTAAAAGAGGGCACTTATGACTATACCACCATTTCCCAGGTGTCCTGACCCTTGTGACTCGAGTGACCAGTGCCTCTCCCCCTTGGTCCAGCTGTGCCCCTGGGTGCCGGAAGCGAGTGGTGAGCCCTGTCCCCATCTCTCCAGGCCCCACACCCTTCAACCTTGTGGCCCCTCAGTGACTTTCTTCAGTAATCTGACTTTCTGGCTGTTAATAAAGGGAACCACTCCTAGCATCTCAGCCTCTACCCCTCATGCCTCAGATGCCCAGTGGGCAGGCCGTAGCACCCACACACACACCATTAAGAAATGAGGACCAGCGCCTTTCAAAATCTGAGCCAGAATTCCAGGCAGCCTGATGTCCCTACAGGTTCACCTCAACTATGTGCCAGTGGGATCTGAGCAGCCCCTCCCCTCCCCTCCCAACCCCAGGGGGCCCAGGCACCATGAGGATTAATTACTGGAGATGGGGGGTAATAAGGGGCTGTCAAGGGGCAGGCTGATACCCTCTTACAGCTGTCTCCAGAGGAGCCCAGCTGAGTCCCCCAGGGGCTGAACCCCGGCCCCCACACAGCTGTGGGGCGGGCCGAGAAGGGGTATTGGGGGGCACTGCAGGAGGCAGCAGGTCTGCTAGTGAATTACGAATACAGAGGGGGCACCTAAGGTCCGTGCAGCCTGGTTTTCCTGGGTGTGTGAATGTGTGCGTGTGTTCTTGCATCTCCCTGACTCTCCATGAGTGTGGCCTTTATGGTTCAGGAAGTCCAGCTGTGTATTCTTAATAACATTAACGACAGCAGCAAACATGCTTCTTTAGCACGCGTGAAGCTTTGTGCTAAGTGCTTAAAATGCATGCATTCTCACTAGGTAGTTACCATTACTTTCCCCATTTTCTGACAAAGCAAGTGAGGCTTGATTTGAACTCACCCGTAGTAAAGATCTGGTAGGCCTGGAACTTGAGCACAGGCTCCTCTGCCCAAAGTGCCCACAGTCTTAATCACTAGTGTGCAACTTCTGTGTGAGGTGTATCCCTGTGACCCTCATCTTGAGACCCAGGTGTCCATATATGTGGCCTGATTGTTGTAGAGATGTGGGTGCCTGTGGATGGGCATGTCTGCCCGTGTGTGTGCTGTGCAGGGCCTCAGCCAGTCAAGTGCAAGAGCGGCGGTGGGTCTGGCTTGCAGTTCCAGAGGGCAGGCAAGGACACAGGTGATACCCAGAGTGAGGAAGAAGAGCTGGGCTCCTGGAAGGACCCTCCCTGCCCCAGCCTCCCCCTTCAATGATGCTGTGGAAGGGCATGAAGGAGGAGAAGCTAAAGGTGCCATGAGCCTAAGAGAGAGGAGCCAGAGCCAGAGACGGTGGCCAGTGGCCAGTAGTGGGAAAGGGAGAGGAGAAGAGAAAGAAATCCTGGGGGAGATGGAGGAGAGGCCTCCCATGTCAGGCTCCTGAGTGGAGGAGGGATGAGCTGGGCTAGAGGAGGGGGAGGAGGGAACAAGAATTGTGATGGGAAGAGACAGCTGGGGAGGGGGTGGATGGAGGGGGGCAGAAAGGAAGAGAGACATATGGGAGGCTCTTCCCCACGCCTCACTGCTTCTCCCATTTATTGTGTCCCTTAGAGGATCTACAACAGTGGCTGGTGAGGTAGCTACTCTCAGTTCAATGCCTCTGCTCTGCCCAGATCCCCGCCCACTCTCTCCATAGGCTGCTGAACCAGAGGGCTGGGTTACCATGGCAACTGTGAGACCTCTGGATAGCCATAGGCGGGCCAAGCTGGTCACTGCTGCTCCTAGGCTTCTGTGCTGTGGTAGTGGGAGGGGAAGGCTCCATCTGGCCCAATCCCCACCCGTCCACCCCATTTTCATTGGGCCTCCAGAACTGAGATGCACCACGCAGTCCAGGTGGGGGGTTCCCTCTCTCTCTCTTTCTCTCATACACACACACACACACAGAAGCCTGGAGCCAGGATAAAGAATGAACACTTCTTAAATTGCAAGAACATTTAACCAATAGTGTAAAGTTCTGCCTGGACTTCAAGTTTAATTCACAAAAGCTGCATTCTCTCAGCTCCTCGTCATGCTGGAGAAAGTCTCACCTTAGCCCTCAGAGAGGCAGGAGGTAGCAGGGGCACCTATGCAGGTTTGGAGGCCAAGGCAGCCTGGAGGGAGCAGCAGAAGACCAGCGCATGGGCTCACCCACTGCCCAAGCTGCAGTCAGGAAGCTAGAGTAGGACAGCAAGTCCCTTTGGTGAAGTTGTCTTAGGGACTCCCACACTAAGAAAATGCCAGACTGGAAAGGTGTCAGAAGTCATCCAAGCCAAATGAGGATTAGATTAGGTAATCCAGACACAGGGAGCAAGGGATTTGCTCCAGGTGACAGAGGTATCCTGTGGCACAGCTGGGACTAGGGCCCAGGTCTCCAGACTTCTGCCCAGGGTTCTCTCCCGGCCCACACCAGCCATCCCCAGAGCTCCTCAGGCCTTCACTGCTCTGGGCCTTGGAGGCCACCGGTTGCGTAGGAAGAAAGCCTCTTGGATAGAGTTCCTAGTCTGTCTTGCTAGTGGGAATTGAAATCTTGAAAATGCAGTAGTCCTACAATGGGGAGATTACAAGCCTCCGAATGAAAATACAGCCTCGTTGCTAATTACCACCTTAATGCACTACAGGTTGAAAACCTTGAATTAAAATCTAAACTGAGGGGGAAGCTGCACCCTCATTCACTGTGTCACCCAGCCATCATCCACGCTCCACACACACACACAGGGCCCGGCACTGGCTCTGCAGATCTCAGCGTCCTGGTCATTTGGGATGGGGCGGGAGGTGGAGAGTTTCTGTGCACGATCTGCGTGAGAGGGCACCCCTCTTCCCAGATAATGATCAGCATCTAACTTCGGAGCATGCCTTGAGGGTCCAGCAAGTTTGGGGATATTTGCGTGGTCATACAAGGGAGCGTCTGGCACCAGAAGGTGCTCAGTAACCACCTAGTGAATGGTACCGCCGCCTCCTGGGTGGTGCCCCCCACCCACCTACTCCGCCATTCTGCGGCCCCAAGCGGCTCAGAGGAAGAAGTGGGCGTGGTCCCCGGACCCGGGGCCGCTCGAGGTCAGCCGGTCACAGCGAGCCTTGTAGAGGTCGCGCTCCCTGGCCAGGCGGGCTACCTCGGCCCTCAGCGCGTCCAGCTGGGCGGCCAGACGGGCACGCTCGGCCTCCAGCCCGCGCCGCTGCTGCAGCCGCTTGGAGCGACAGGCCTGCGCGTAACCGCGGTTCTTCAGCGTGCGGCGCCTCTGCTTCAGCCGCAGCGCCTCGTCGCGCCCGCAGCCCCGCAGCTGCCGGTTTAGCTCCCGCACAGACATCGACACCAGCGCCGCGTCCGAAAACCGCTCGGCCAGCTGCAGAGGAAGCGGGCAGAGACCTGGTCAGCGCCGGGTGCTACGCACTCCATACACAGGTCCCGACGCCAGAGTGGCCCTGCCCCCGGGGAGGCTCCACCCCCGGCTCCCACCTTACCGGCAGGCTCGCCCTGCCACGGAATGGATCTCGCAGTCCAGACCCCGCCCCAGTCCCAACCCGCCTGGGGCCACGCGGTCCTGGCTAAGGGGCTAGCGCATCTTTGGCTCCGCCCCACGCGGCAGGCCCCGCCTCCCACGGTCAGGCGAGCCAATGGCGCACCAGAGCCCGCACCGCCCCTCCGCGGTCCTCAGCATCCGGCTCCAGGCCCGCGTGACCTGCGGGCCCGCGCCCAGACGGACCCCGCCCCTCCAACGCGCCTCTCTCCCCTGTCCTGAAGGCCGCAACCCTGTGACCCTCAAAGGATTTGGATTACATCCTAATGCCCTCAACACCCCCATCTGTGTCTATAATTAATAGGATGAGTCCCTATTCTTCCTGAGAAGGTTGAGGGCCGTGGAAGCACGAAGTCTTGAAAGGGCCAGCCTCATTCCGGTTCCCACAGTCATAACTCCGCTCCCTTCTACGCACAACCCTTTTCCTGGTGTCCACAGACACGGTATCATTTACCTCCTCGTAAACAACCGCTCCCTGACGCCCTTTCGTTCTCAATCCTCCCCTTTCGGTCCTCTTCTAACCTTATCTTCTTCTTCCTCCTGGTTCAGCCTACTCATTTCTCATCATTTGGAAAAAAGGGAGGGCGGAGGACGTAGTGTTCTCTATCTGATTTCTTTCAAGGGCCCTTCTTCCCTTCTGCCTTCTGTCTCTTTCCCAATCTGTAACCCCCTCTGGGAACTCTCCTCCCTCTTGAACTGCCCTCCTCCCTCAGCCTGCCTCCCCTCAGACTGGCTCACTGATCACTCACCTGGGTATGCTGGGCTCCGGTCTCCTCCGGGCTCCCTGGGTAGTAGCCATGGGGCCCCTCACCAGGGACTGGGCTCTGACCCTGCAGCAGCTCCACGGCCTCCTCCGGACTCAGCCCCAGTGCCTCCCCAGCCCCCAGCTGTTGCTGTAGGGTGGCCAGCCAGTACAGCTCCTCCAGGCCTGGCCGGGGTCCCTCGGTGGCCCCCACCATGCCTGGCTCACTGAAGGTGGGTGAAGGAGGCACTGAGCTGTAGGGGGTGGAACCCAGTGAGGCTGTAGGAGGGGCAGATCGCCCCTCCGAGGGTTCCCGCTTTACCTCAAACTTCATCAAGTCAAAGTCATTGACATATTCCATGGCCAGGGGGCTAGGTGGCAGTGCCATTCTGGGGCTGGATTGGGAGGGGTGCACCTGCAAAAGAAGAGGAGAGGTTTGGAGCACCTGGAGGCTGCCTGCCAGCCTCCTTTCCCAAAACTTGCTTCCCCTGAAGCCCAAGTGCCCTAGAGCCAGAGTTCTGGAAAGCCGGGGAGATGTGCAGCTCTGCTCCCTACATAGTCACCTCCGGGCTGGGGGCAACTTTTTAGGTGGCAGGGGCTCCTGACCGGTGGCAAGCAGCTTAAAGGCCTGGATGAGGAAGAGGATAACACAGCCTCTGGCCCACTGGTGCCTCTGGGATCTATGAAAAACAAGAGGAAGATGGCAGTGCTCCCAACTTTAATGCTGGGACGTGCTGAGAGGCTCTGTCATCTCAAGAGACATCATTTCATTTCCAAGCAATTTAAAAGATTTGCTTAATTAACTGTGATAGAGTATGTGTATATTTTAGGACAATGGGAAGTCACGTATGCTGTGATTTTTAATCTATGAGGATAACGTGCGTGATACCTCTCTCTCAGAGCCCCAGGCCAGAGCCTTGCACATAGAAGACCCTCAGTGCACATCTGTTCTATGGATTAAGCAATTAGTGAATACCTTTTATAGGAGCAAGAGACTTTCCAAGGAAAAAAAGAAAGGTCCTCAAATCAGTTCTAGAAAGATCAGGACTGAGTGCTGACAATCTTTCCCCAAGGCCAATCTCTCCAAGGGGAATGAACCAAGACTGGTTTTCCCCTCTACTCAGAACCTGCTCTGTTGTGTGAACTTGAGCAGACCCCCTTCCCCTTTCTGACCCCAGTTTCTCCTTCTATCCAAGGAAGGAAGTTAGACTTTAACAGTTCCCAAAGAGTGTTCTGTGAAGCACTAAGTCTGAAAAACACTCAAGAAGAGGTCTATGCTCAGATAATTTTGAGAAATGCTGCCTCTCATCCCCACCTCTTGCAGATTCACAAAGCACAGCAGCATATTAATCTGAGAAGTCCTTCAGTAACTATCTGTTCAACCTCAACACAGAGTGCCTCGAACTTATGTCCTCAAGGACCTCTCCTCTGTCTTATCAACCATGGAGCGGGTGCTCATCTAGGAACCTCTGGCTAGATGACCTCGGAGATCCTTCCCAGCCTGGAAGTCCCAAGCTCTAGCCCAGTTCCAACAGCCCCACCACCAGCCCCAGGAGAGGCAAGGCGGGGCTTAGCGTTTGGCTCCATCTTGATGCCCCAAGCCTAGGTAGCCCTCTTTCCAACCACATCTCAGGCCCCCAGGCTCTGCCCAGAGAGTCAGGAAGAAGGACCAGGCTTCTCTCTTTTCCTGTCCCAAGGAACCAGGGAAGGGTTTTTGCCCATCTATTGAGCTCCCTACCCTTGACAGGACAGAGGGGATGGGAACAAAGACACAGATTGAAGGAACTGACCCTTGGCAAGGAGGAGACCGTGAGCCCCTGAAGGAGGTGTCCAGAGTGAATTGGATGAAGAGATAAGTAAGGGGGTTGTTTATCTTTCTGAAGTGATAGCAGTGAGGGACATAAGGCCAGTCTGGGTGGGAGTGGAGCAGAGGACAGAAGTGTGAAGGTCCCTGAAAACAGGCAACAGAGAGCAGAGAGCAGGTGTTGGAGGAGGGGGCTCTGGGTGAGCAGCCTGGCACCTAGGTGGGCCGCGGACATACTCACTTTAGGGATGGCAGAGATGATGTGGTCAGTGTCAGAGCCAGGTGGGCACAGCTTCCCCAGAGACTGGAGGCCCCATTGAGCAGGGCCTGGCGGCTCTGTGCTCAGAACAAGGGGCTGTGGGCACAGAGCCCAAAGGGCACTCTTAAAGGGCCAGCGCTCTGAGGTCATCTGTGGTCCTGAGGCCTCCAGCCAATGAGGTAAGGGGATCATTTGCATATCTCATTGTCCTGGGGGGTTGGGGGGAGTGAGGGGGAGGACATGTATGCCTATGCCTGTTCTCAAGGAAGGAAAGGGGGCATTTTCCCCAACAAAGCTCCTCACTGATGGTCTGACTCAGATGTGCTCAGCCTCCCAGTACAGAGAGCCACATTGGCCCCAACCACCACCCTCATATGAACACAACCCTCAGCCCTTGGTGACTGAGAGACGGGGACCGGAAGAGAGGACCAGACAAGCTCCCAGCGCCCTTACCCTCCAAGGCTCTGCAGCCCCTTGTCAGTGTTTTTGGGGTGTACAAGCTCTCTCCAACCCCCTCTCACCTGGCCTGTTGGGTCTGTTTCCTGTTTCCAGGAATTCTCACATTTCTGCCCCCTGCCTCATGCCCATCACAGCCATTGCATCAGAAAGATAAGCAACCCTCCCCACGGTGAGTCTCCAGGACTCGGCCATCCAATCCTCAGGCTCTCCCACTCTGAATGACCCAGCCCCAGGACAGGCAGCCCAGCTTGGGAGAAGGAGCAAGAGAAGGGAGAACGAGGAACTCTGCTCCTTCCTTCCGGGCCACCGCAGGACACAAATCTGATCACCACCAATCCATCCAAGACACTTTTGTAACTGCCCTCACATGCCCTCTGCTTCCTCTCACCTTTTCCTTGTGTGTCTCCATCCCTCCCTTTTCCTCTCTCGCTCATCCTGGTTCCCAGATGGCTGGACAGTGACCTACATTTTTAGCCTAATCCCCTAACACCTCTTAGAGCTATCATCCCTGAGTAGAAGTTGGAACAGGGATACTAGGAATTAGCCAAGGAGATGTTTAAACCTGTCTGAAGCTGTTTAAATGGGGTCTGTACTAGAATAGAGCTCCAAGAAAAAGCTGGTGGATTCAGACGATCTAAGGCAGTGATTCTCAAAGTGTGGTCCCCAGAGCAGCAGCATCACCTTGGAACTTGTTAGAAGTGCAAATTCTCTGACCTCGCCTCAAAGCTACTGAATCAGAAACTCACTGGATGGGGCCAAAAAAAATCTGTGTTTTAATAAGCCCTCCAGGCAATTTTGACGAACACTTAAGTTTGAGAACCACTGCTCTACAGACTGCCTATGGTCAACTCAGCTTCCCTTGGTGCGTGACACTGTGTGTGTGTGTGTGGTCTCTCCTGCCATGCTCAGTACACACATGTAACAAGACCTAGATCAGACGACATCTCTCTCTGCCCACACTTGGCCTCCATTTTTTGGAGAAGAGACCATTGTCATTATTCAAGTAGAAAGGCTTCCCAGTGTGATTGCCTGAATCTAGTGCTGTTTTTGCAGAAACAGCAAAAAGCCCAAGGCCTGGGAACAAGGCCACAAAGTGGGAATGGGGAGCAGGGAGAAAGGGAACCCCATACACATGCCCATGGAATGTGGGTCTAAGGCAAACAGGCAGAAAAAAGACCCCAGAATTTCCCTGGTTGAAGAAGGAATAGGCAGTGTTGATGAAGCCTGATCTGGCCTGGCCAGACACTTGCCCCCCAGCAGATGTCAGGTCTGCACTGATCCTCTTGTTTACTGGAGGGCTCAAAGGAGAGGTGGGAGGGCTAAGCTGCTAACGGGCTAAAGGAGTCAGACTAAACAAGCTCAGGCGCGTTGAGCTGCTCAGGGCTCAGACCAGGCGCCACTGACCAGGGAAAGGAGTCTGAGGAGTGAGGGCTGGGCCAGGGGAAGGACCAAGGACACAGAAGCGAGGCTGTGACAGCCAGAGGGGACCCAGGAGGTGGTTAATGGGTTCTCTTGGTGGCAGCCAGGGCTGGTGGGGGCGAGGGGGAAATGAATGCTGAGACTGACTGGCTCAAGGACATATGGGGACAGGGAAATAGGGATGAAAAAGATGAAGCCAGGTGGACTCTGGGAATGACAGAACAGAGGAAGGGAGGCAAGAAGACTTAGCAAAGGAGGCAGCAGGTATAGATCTGGGATAGAGGGCATAACAAGTCAGGGACTCTCCAGGGACTGGGAATGAAGGAGGCAGAGGGACATAGGCACATGGATGGACAAAGGGCCCTGAGGAACTCAAAGAGAGGAAGGCTTCTGGGAGGGGACCAGGAAGGAAATAAAAGATAACAAGAGAGGTGATGGGAGCAAAGGAGGAGAAGACAAAGTGGTAGCAGAAAGGGCCAGAGGGAAGTAAGATTGGGGACCAAACACTAGAAACAAATCCAGAGGAATAGACAGATGGATGGTCAGGCCACAGAGAGAGAGCAGTGGCCACAGGGTGAAAAAGTAGAAAGATATGGACAGAGGGATACTGGACCATGGGGAAAGACAGCCTCCATGGCAGGCAAAGGGCCTGGAGGAGTGGGGTACAACACAAAAAGGAAGGAGAGGAGAGGGGACAGACAGTAATCCAGAGTGCTATCACCAGCTCCTCTGTCCTGCACCCCCATTTTCAGAGCCCCGTAAGACCTTTATCATTCCTCGTTCTGGCTTTTGGTATCTAGATCTTCAGTAATGGATCCCAATCCTCAAATCTTGTACATTCATTTGATGAACATTTATTAAACACCTGCTCTGCCCCGGGCACTGTGCTAGGCTTAGGGACACCTCAGTAAATCAGACTGACACTAGCCCTGCCATCATGGAGCTTACAGACTGAAACAGAGAAACATCAGTTTATTGCCCTTGGGCCCAGACAAGAGTGGCCCCTGCCCTGGGCCCTGCACTTTGGAAGCCTCCACTCTGTCCCTTGTCTGGCTGTGTGCCATGGAGTGAGGAGTCCAAGCCTTCTCTGCCCACACCCCAATCCCCTTCTGAACCACACTCCAGACACCTAGGAATTCCCTGCCCAAAGGGCCCCAAGCCCACTTCTAGGGTTTGCCCTCCCAAGAGTGGACCACACTACGCATGCACACATCCCTAGACTCAACACATGGCCAAGGGGCGGCTGTTTGAAGGAGGTTGTGGGCAGATTTGGGATGTGTAGACAAGGAGTTCCACACATGCGCACATGAGGCCGTTCACAGTACACAATGGTGTCAGGAGTGGGATAAGAAATGGGCCCAAGGGCCACTGGCCAAAAGCTACCTGTCCCTACACTACCACATTCTGCTGTGGAATCCTGAGGACCCCAAATAATATCCAAATTTGAACCAAAGTCCAGACCATTATGTA